AATATATTTTTATTGATTTCAGAGAGGAAGGGAGAGGGAGAGAGAGACAGAAGCATCAATGATGAGAGAGAATCATTGATTGGCTGCCTCCCGCACACCCCACACTAGGGATCAAGCCCGCACCCAGGCACATGGCCTGACCGGGAATCGAACTGGTGTCCTGGTTCCTGGGTCAACGCTCAACCACTGAGCCACACCCAGCTGAGGGTCGCAAAGTTTAAGAGCACAGAGTGTTGGCAAGGAACAACTGAAACTCTGCTAGCTCTCCTGCACAGTGGGTGGAATATGAACTAGAACAACCTTTTTGGAAAAGAGGTGGTATCTACTAAAGCTAATAATGCAAGTTACATGATAGCCCAGAAAGGCCTCCGCTAATTAAATAATGAACACAAATGCATGCATGTCCACCAAATGACATATTATTAGAATGTTCATAGCAGCACTGCTTGTAAGAGCCCCAAACCAGAAGCTAGCAGTAGTGAAATGGATAAATTACAATATTGCCCCACATTAGAATACTATACAGCAATGGGAAGGAATAATATTCCACTATACGCAAAGGTATGAATCAATCTCACAAACACGTTGAGCAAAAGAAGCCTGAACAAAATAAGGTCATATGCCTGTTTCACTTGAATCTATTGCTGCGTAACAAACTTAGTGTCTCAAAACAATGTTTTACTATTTTTCATGATTGTGTGGAATAGCTGTGGTTTTTCTATGTCATCTGAACTTGGCTGCAGATTTGGTGGGGTTGGAAGGTCCGAGGCGGCCTCATTTACATATCTGGTGGTGCTTGGTTCTTCTCCATGTGGCCTCGGCCACCTTCCTGACAGACCTGAGCAGCATTCCGAGAGGGTGAAAGTGAAGCTGCGAGGCCTCTGAAGCCACAGCCGCACAAGCTGCACAGCGTTCACTTTCCTGTCAGTCAAACCAAGTGAAAAGACCAGTGCAGGTTTGAGGGGTGGGGAAATAGGTCCTACCCACTGAGGAGAGCAACTCACATTGAAAGGGTCAGACACACAGGGAGGGGAGAAATCTGTGGCCACACTTGCCATCTACTACAAAAGAGTCTGATGCCATTTCTATAAAGTAGAACCGGTTTGTTGTTATAAATCCCTTATCAGATGTGCCCGGAGGGTGGTATGAGGGAGGCCATCGAGGTTCCTGGATATATTATGGCTTCTTCATCTAGGTACTGGTTACTAGTGTGTTCAGTTTATAAAACCTTAAGATGTCTGAAATGGTTTATGATTGTATACTTGAATTAAAAGTTTAAAAAAATATATGTAATGGCTTGGTGGTGGTTCATTTCTCTTCCAAGTCACAGTCCGGCTGGTCAGGTTGTTGGAGCAGTTCAGGTCCTTGAGGTGATTCGGGGGCCCAAGTTCCTTCTTTTTTGCTGGTTCATCATCTTGCCCTTGCCCGAATAGTTGAGCTGTTACTGGCAGTCTGCTTTCTAGCTAGTGGACAAATGTGTTTCTTTCAAGCTATAAGGTGGAAGTTACACACATCACTTCCACTCACCACCCACTGACAAGAACTTATTCTCATGGCCACACCTAGCTAGGAATGTAGTCTGAGCCGGACAGCCTGTACCCAGAAGTGCCAATTTCAGGAAACAACTAGTAGTCTGTGTATTTTTTATGATGAAGCTGTTCTTTAATAATTATGTTTCAAAGGTTACTCAGAAATAGCTAACTTCCTTTTTCTCAGTGTTAAAAGGTTAAAAACACCAAGTGCCCTGAGTTTTATTCTTGTATTTCCTGTGTCAAAATGAAGGCCAATAATCATCACCACTCCTCCTTCGATATATAAATATACTTAAATGATAAATGTGTAAGCAAAGACACAGATGTATTAAATACTGACTATAGAACTGGTCAGGTTCCAAGAGCTTATATACTTTCCCGGTGGAAAAAGGTCAACTGTCTTTGGAAAATTCCTTACTATGATTTCAGAGGGGCAGCCTCTGAAATGAAGAGTCCAATGAATGAATGAATACATTTCAGCAGCCTGTATAATAGGTGCTGAGAGAACCTGTTTAGCGCATATAACACTGAATTTTTTTATAAAAACATTTACATTTATTAATCTATTTTCTACTTAAAATGCACAAATAAGGAATTTATACATCGAGCACATGCGTAGAGTTTAGGGAAACGATTTTATCGGTAATAGAACCCTGCTAGTCCATCAGAGGCCTACTATTTCCTCACAGTATGTTCCCTCTCACAGCAGCCCTGGGACCCCCTCCCAAACCACTCCCTTGGGTTTTCTGATTTACTGCTTGTCTTCCTTCTAGAAGAAAGGGTCAACTGTAGCACTGATAGGTGCTCTAGAACTTTCCCTGAGACATCTGTCTATTGCTCCTAGGCATCTGGCCAGGAAGATCTCTTTGGAGCCAAAAAGTTAATAACTGGTCTAGAAAATACACAATGTCATGGTCTGTGCATTTCTAAAGCGAACTTTATGACATCATGCAAAGGCAAAGGCAAAGGCAAAGGGAAAGGGAAAGAGAGGGAAGTAATCTGGCTTTGAGTCAGGCTGACCCAGGTTCAAATTTAAGTTCTTCCCCTTCTTACTCATGTCTAACCTTGGGCAAAGGACTACATGTCCCTGGGCCTCAGCGTCCTCATCTGTGAAATGGGAATAACAATAAGAATCAGAGTGAGAATAAACCTTTAGGTGCTCAATGAAGCAGTTTCCATGCTTACTATCCCTTTGTGTTTCCAGAGTGCCAAGGGCCATAACTTAAGGAATCAAAGGGGAAGCTGAACAATGACTAAAGTCTTAGAAAATAAGATCAATGGAGGATAGATGACTGGTAAATGTGTGGAAAAGAGCATTTGGTCTGGAAAGAGGGCAATAAGTACCAATGGCTACCATTTATAAGCACCTGGTACCTTGCTTGGCATTAATATAGTTCTATTCAGTCCTCAGAACAGCCCCATGAGGAATCCATGATTATGGCCCCATATAACAAGTGAGGATTTCATAACTTGCCCAAGATCCAGCTAAATGGAGAACTGGAGAGTCAAATTCAGGTTTGACGCTTTGCAGTAGCTTAAGATTCTCCTGCCCAGGCAGTGGAGACAGCTTGAGGGAGCTGGACTTACAGAGGAGCAGGAGGGAGACAGGAAGATGGCTGTCAGCCATGGGCATCAGGGGCTGGCAGGGGCCACAGAGACAAATGCACAATCTTTCTTTCATCAGAAAGGGAATCCCCCGGTGGCAGGTGCCTCAGGCGTGGGCTTACCTGAAGGCAGGAGGGACTCTATTTTCCCTGGAGGAAAGTGGGCTTGTGAGTACCAGGTGAGACTGATCTCCTGGGGGCCACACAGGCAGATCTGAGCACCCTGCCCCTCCTCGCTGCGGGGCTCAGTGGGAACACACAGTTGAGTCCATGCCTCTACTTTTTCCTAGATGTCCTATTGTCATTGCAGATACTCCCTTAGCCTCACTCTGGCCATTCCCTGGAAAGAGTTTACATAAAACAATAAAAATATTAAAATGTACAAATAAAAATTTTTCAGCATTAATCCCACAACCTCTCCATTTTCTTATCCACAGACGCAGTTTGATAACTCCTACAATTCTGACAAGGTCCTTGGGGTTGTCGGCCTCTTCAAGCCATCTCAGGTCTGATTTTCATGTAACCTCCGCGCTGATCTGGCAGGGATCTGCCACCCTCTCTTCTACTATTTTGAGTAGAAGCCAAGGTTTTTGCTTTCTTGCCCTCACTTTGCTTCTTCCCATTGCCGAGGAGCAGTGACTGGAGCTGAATCTCGTGTCTGCAGTCTACTTCCTCTATGGAGCTGCACTGTTCTTTCCCGTGTGGATAATTTTGAAGCAAACAAAGCAGAGTGTCTCTCCCCCTTGCTTTTCTTTCTTTTGTGGAGACATGGAACAGGTCAGTTCAACAGACTCAGAGCGTGTGTCTTGAATCTCACAGAGGCCTATGACAGAGGCCTAACAGGTCACCATTTGAGCCATAAATATTTTTTCTGAAGAGCAGTCCCAAGAGCTCGCTAAAACTTGCATTTGGATTTAACGTAGATTGAGAACCTTATGTTTAACCCATGTCTCTGTCTCTAAACTCTGTACCTGATTTTGAACCACTGGCTTCACATTGACTTCTAACACTGATATACCTTCTAAGACAAGTGAACCTAAACAAAGAACACCAACCGCACATTGCCGTACCCTGAAGATAACATGGAAAAGCAAAGCCACACTGGGAAAGGAGAGGCCATGGCTTGATTTTGCCCAGCAAACGTCTCTTGGCCTCAGAATACTGCCACTTCCCGCAGTTCCAGCCCTGAGCTGTGGTCCACTCTGAGCAAGTGAATTCCTCTGCGGAAACTTGCACATAATAAGGAGATGGTGTCGCCAACGGCCAGGGAGGTCAAAGGTCCTGATCCATCCAGAGACAAGGTGAACAGGCAGGCTGGGGGGAGGAAGTGGGAAACCAGCCACTTAGGCCAAGAGTGCAATATCATGAAATGCTGTGTCTGTAAGAATTCCACGTAATGAAAGCAAGTGCTGTATGTCTCCAACCCACACAACAGAGGCACCCCATGCTTTAGAGCAGGGGTCCTCAAACTTTTTAAATGGGGCCAGTTCACTGTCCCTCAGACCGTTGGAGGGCCGGACTATAGTTTAAAAAAAAACTATGAACAAATTCCTATGCACACTGCACATATCTTATTTTGAAGTAAAAAAACAAAACGGGAACAAATACAATATTTGTATTGGCATGTGGCCCGCGGGCCGTAGTTTGAGGACCCCTGCTTTAGAGGAACATGCACTAGCAGGGAAGTCGGTCAACCCCAAGACTTCGACTATCGAGAATGGCACACAAACCAAACAGGATGGCTATATGCCACTGAGAAGTGTGTTCAGACACGTGGGGCCTCCCTGGCAAGGACATGTTAAAAAAAGTTGCTCAGCCCTGGCCGGGTAGCTCATTTGGTTAGAGTGTTGTCCCGATATGCCAAGGTTGCGGGTTCGATCCCCAATCAGAGCACATATGAGAAGCAACCAATGAATATATAAACAAGTGCATCCACAAATCAATGCTTCTGTCTTTCTCTCCCTTCCTCTCTCTCTGTCTGGAAAAAAAAAAAGTTGCCCTCAGTTACCTGCCCTGAGAACAAAGTAGGGTCAGGACGAAGGAAAACAGACAGGGACACGGGTTTTCATTTAGGCTTCCCAGGCTCTCCTCCCTTCAAGACAACAGAAGACAGGGAACCTGAAGGGCAGTCAGGGGTTTCCAGCGGAGCCAGTCTTCCTCCACCTGCATTTCAAAGCCTTCTCACACATCGGGTGGGCAGGGCAGCACTTCAGGTCTTGTTCCCCCTGGTCTCAGGTTTATGCTAATGAAGCTAAAAAGCTGTTTCTCCCACTTCCCACATCGAGGTGAAGGTGACGGAGAAGGCAACTCCAGGGGCGGGCACAGCGGGCTGTCCTTACTATGTAAGTTTAGCTTGTGTGCCCCTTGACGAGATCTCACCTCTTTCTCTGAGGGAGCTACCCTACCCTCCTTTGATGGGACCCGGATTTCTGGAAGGTTACTGTAGGAGGGACTTGGTTTGAGGTTTTCTAAAGTAATGCTATTCTTGTGTTTAGCAGAACTGTGTCCAGGACAGAATAGCATGGAGGCAGCAGGGTGGAAGGAAACACAAGCTTTATTCATAGCATTTGCCAAATCTTGTGGCATAAATACTCCCACTATGACCGTATTAAATATCCCTGAATACTTAACAATCAGCCATGAGGAGCTGGATCGGCACACCCCTGCATCAACAACTCCAGGGAGCTGTGTTCCCTAAGACACTATTTTCTCTGGTGCTTTAAAGTGTCATGACGATTTCAAAAACCTTAGCTGCAGAGTCAAAACGGGGCACAGTCTTTCTGAAACTATCTTTACTCCACCTCACCCCACCAAGAGCTGAGGCTCATTTTAGTCCTTGAAAAATAAATTTTAAAATGGCAATTTCTGTTCTCTTTTCCAGACATTTTGAGCAACACAAGTTAAAACTTGACGAGGAATTTTAAATAGAAAGAATATAAAAGCCAAATATATTTGAGCTCTTAGGGATGAGTCTGTACAATATGATAGAAACAGCTATGTAGCCTCTAGCCGAGGCTGAACAGAGATTCCGGTATCTGGTGTCATGTCTTAACCAACAGGGGGCTGAACAGTGGCAGGACAGGCGTGGTGTCCTGAGAAATGGAAAGGAAGTTTTAAGGAAGCCTTTGAGACTTATCTTTAAGAAGCACTAATAGTAGGGTCCTTACCTCCAGTATCTTGGTTCCAAATCTTCACCTTGCAGTCGTGTGATGAGGTAGCGATTACAGGCATCAAGGCCAATGCTCTTGGTAGAAAGACACAGGATGCCACAGTCTGGAAATGCCCCTTATACTCACATATTCTGTTCCGCGTCTGTCTTAGGTCCCACAACTGCAAAGTAATGACATAGGCTACCTCAGATATATACATTTCCCCAGCTTCATTCATTGATATCTATCGCCTCTCCATCTCATGGCCCACCTGTTCCCTCCACTTACCTACTTCTGTAGCTACCCTTACCTTCATCCATCCCATCTACAACACAGCCAACCATCCATCCACCCAGTGATTATTTTAAGCACCAACTATGTCTCAAACAACCCTGGTTAAGAATGTGCCTGAAGGGTTGTTGCCTCATTAACATACTGGTTAGGAAAGCGAAGCTCCAAGTCCTACAGCATGAGAGAGTATGAGGTTACTGACTTTCTATGACAACTCAAGAGCTATCTTATATCAGCCTCTTGGTATCTGTGGGTCTCGTGGGGACCCCACAGTTAGGAGCATCTTCTCATAAGTACATGCAGGCACAGAGCTGATTTAATGCATAGTCACTAAAGCTTGACTACAAGTGAGGCGCCAGTCCTGCCAGTCCCATTCTTTGCTGATACAGATCAGACCACACCTGGAGAATAATGTTCAGGTAAGAGAGCAAACTGAATTGTGTCCAAAAAACAATGAAATTACTGGACACCCTGTCCTCTGAGGAACAGTGTAGGAGCTGGAAACGCTTAGCTTGAAGAAAAGATGCCACATCAGCAGCCTGGGATTTAAAATCTTGACCCAACACTTTCCAGAGGTGTGTCTTGTACAACTTGCCGTGTCTCTATTTCCTCATCTGTAAAATGGGAATTATACTACTTGACTCACGTGGTGGTGGTTTTTTAAAAATATATTTCTATTGATTTCAGAGAGGAAGGGAGAGGGAGAGAAAGATAGAAACATCAATGATGAGAGGGAATCATTGACTGGCTGCCTCCTGCACGCCCCCCCACTGGGGATCGAGCCCGCAACCCGGGCATGTGTTCTTGATTAGAATTAAACATGGGATCCTTCAGTCCACAGTCCGGCGCTCTATCCACTGAACCAGACCGGCTAGGGCTTGCGTGGTTGTTTTAAGGATTAAATGAGATAATACATGTAATGTGCTCAGCCCAATGCCTAGGCCAGTGATGGCGAACCTTTTGAGCTCGGCGTGTCAGCATTTTGAAAAAACCCTAACTTAACTCTGGTGCCGTGTCACGTATAGAAATTTTTTGATATTTGCAACCATAGTAAAACAAAGACTTATATTTTTGATATTTATTTTATATATTTAAATGCCATTTAACAAAGAAAAATCAACCAAAAAAATGAGTTTTTTGATGGTGTCATAGGTTCGCCATCACTGGCCTAGGCTGTAAGAAATGTTTGATAGTCCTGACCGGTTTGGCTCAGTGGATAGAGCGTCGGCCTGCGGACTGAAGGGTCCCGGGTTCGATTCTGGTCAAGGGCATGTACCTTGGTTGCAGGCACATCCCCAGTGGGAGGTGTGCAGGAGGCAGCTGATCGATGTTTCTCTCTCATCGATGTTTCTAACTCTCTATCCCTCTCCCTTCCTCTCTGTAAAAAATCAATAAAATATATTTAAAAAAAAAGAAATGTTTGATAAAATGGGAGCTATAATTATTCTATTTAGATACTAGATGACCCCTTTAACTGGTATTCTACTATTAGGAATCCAACGTACTTTGGAGGAGCCTATCCTGAAATTAATTGAAAGGAAAGCTAAATGGTTAAGGGATGGGGTGGGCCCTTGATCAACACTGAAACTCCAACTTCCTAAAGAGCTTGAACCTCCTTTACTGTGACCACAATGAAAACACTTAGTTCTTCACACAGTCCTTCTTCTTTCTAAGCTCTGCTGGGAGGACGGACATCAGCAGGCCAGTTCTAGGATATAGCCTTCTTGACTCTCATCCCATTCCTCTTTCCCAAACCAATTCAGAAAGCCCTCGGCTGATGGGCCTTTCTTGAAAGAAGTATTTGGAATGCAGAGGATCACTTATAGTCTGCACTCGGAATAGACCTGAGCCATTAGCAGACCTGCTGTGCAGCCCAGTACAAGTTATTTGCTCATCAACAACCAGACACCTGGACTGGACATGACCCCTCACCGTGGCTTCGCAGCCTTCTCCTCCAAAGCCACTGCTGCAGGAGAGACACCTGTGTCCGTCCTCACTGACCTCGCAGTAGGTCTGAACGTGTTGCTTTGCAGGAAATATATGAGCCACCTGGAGCCCCCGAATGTCCCATAATCTGAAAGAAATTACAGCAAAAAAATGAGTTTATAGTAAATGTGTCTGAAATATACCATAATCACCTGCAATCATAAGTCTTGGCTCTTTGCTGCTTCGGCCAGTCAGAATGGAGTCATAATATACCTAAAAATAGCAGCTTGAACCAGATCAATCTTGGAGACTCCAAGCTGGCAGGAAATAACGAAATGACATCTGAGTTCTTTCTATTTTGAGATCTAGTTAATAGAAATTTAGACCAAGCAACTTAATTATATAAGCTAATTTGGTCTTTTGGGGTGCTGCCTTCAATGGAAAGAAGATATTTCTGTGCCTGTGATTTTTAATTTTTAAAAATATTTTTTTATTGATTTCAGAGAGAAAGGGAGAGGGAGGAAGAGATAGACACATCAATGATGAGAGAGAATCACTGATCGGCTGCCTCCCGCACGCCCCACACTGGGGATTGAGCCTGCAACTTGGGTATGTGCCCTGACCGGGAATCGAACCATGACCTCCTGGTTCATAGGTCGACACTCAATCACTGAGCCACACCGGCTGGGCTATAATTTTTTTAAAAAGATACTTATGATAGTACAGAGGAGCAATCATCCTTCCAGATTCATAAACAAAAGATTTACAGACTTGGTCAACCTTGGCTATGGGGTTCACTGGGGAGTACTTTATTTACCTCTTGTCTCATTCCTACCATTTTCTAAGTAGAATCTCTTCTGATAGCCACAGTTTCTAGTCACGCTCTCTAGTCTAAGAACAGTTGACTTCATTTGATTCCCCTGATGGCGATTCCCCTGCTTTCTCAGAGAGGGCTTTGCCTGAGGGCTGGGTGACTGGGAATGTGAGGACCTGAGCAGGGCCAGCAAATAAAGCCAGGCCGTTCGAAGGGGTGGGAGGAGCAAGTGACTGATCCTGAGGTTAATCTGACTGTTCACACAGCTACACAGCCAGGGCGGGTGGAATCAGCTGCTTTGGGTTTTTCCTGGCCTGGCTAGCATTCAGCCTCTACACAGAGGATTCCATGGGGCCAGATCAGAGAGGCCCCAGGACCAGTGAGGGGCAAAGGGGCAGAATGCCCTCGCAAGGGCACAGCAATGCAGAGAAGCAGAGTGGGAATGGAGTCGTGTAAGCGTGGGAGCCACAAATCTTCACCAGAAACACTGTCACTGGTGCTCAGTGAGCCCACCTGATGGTTTTATCTTCAGAAGCCTGTAGTACATATGGTTCTCTGGGGACCCAACACAGGTGAGTGACCTGGAAGAAGCACAATTTTCAAAATGTCTCCAGACCAAGTCATTCCTCTGCTGGAATTCCTGTAAACAGTGCTAAATAGCATCTCTGTACCACTTCTCAAGGACGCTGAACGAGGGAATTTGACTTGGAGGAAGGGGTTTCATGTTTTGCAGACACCCACCAGTCATGCTCTCCTTGCATCTCCTTGGCTATCAGCATCAACAGTAGCAGCTGGGCCAGTTGTGAGTACCCCAATGCATGCAGGCGCTCTTAGAATGCCTGAACCCAAACGCCTGGTAAAGAACTGCTGGTCTGTGGCAGCCAGGGGAGCAGTCCCCGCTGTAAAGCGGGGCCACTGAAACCACAGTGTAGGCCACAGAGGGTTGAGGAAGGGCTCTTCTTGCACTTTATCTCTGCAGCCCTCCGGTGGGCAGGCATGAAAGACTTTTCAAAACAACCCAAGGTAACAGGATTTATGCACACTGCACATATCTTATTTTGAAGTAAAAAAACAAAATGGGAACAAATACAATATTTGTATTTGCATGTGGCCCGCGGGCCGTAGTTTGAGGACCCCTGCTTTAGAGGAACATGCACTAGCAGGGAAGTCGGTCAACCCCAAGACTTCGACTATCGAGAATGGCACACAAACCAAACAGGATGGCTATATGCCACTGAGAAGTGTGTTCAGACACGTGGGGCCTCCCTGGCAAGGACATGTTAAAAAGTTGCCCTCAGCCCTGGCCGGGTAGCTCATTTGGTTAGAGTGTTGTCCCGATATGCCAAGGTTGCGGGTTCGATCCCCAATCAGAGCACATATGAGAAGCAACCAATGAATATATAAACAAGTGCATCCACAAATCAATGCTTCTGTCTTTCTCTCCCTTCCTCTCTCTCTGTCTGGAAAAAAAAAAAGTTGCCCTCAGTTACCTGCCCTGAGAACAAAGTAGGGTCAGGACGAAGGAAAACAGACAGGGACACGGGTTTTCAGTTAGGCTTCCCAGGCTCTCCTCCCTTCAAGACAACAGAAGACAGGGAACCTGAAGGGCAGTCAGGGGTTTCCAGCGGAGCCAGTCTTCCTCCACCTGCATTTCAAAGCCTTCTCACACATCGGGTGGGCAGGGCAGCACTTCAGGTCTTGTTCCCCCTGGTCTCAGGTTTATGCTAATGAAGCTAAAAAGCTGTTTCTCCCACTTCCCACATCGAGGTGAAGGTGACGGAGAAGGCAACTCCAGGGGCGGGCACAGCGGGCTGTCCTTACTATGTAAGTTTAGCTTGTGTGCCCCTTGACGAGATCTCACCTCTTTCTCTGAGGGAGCTACCCTACCCTCCTTTGATGGGACCCGGATTTCTGGAAGGTTACTGTAGGAGGGACTTGGTTTGAGGTTTTCTAAAATAATGCTATTCTTGTGTTTAGCAGAACTGTGTCCAGGACAGAATAGCATGGAGGCAGCAGGGTGGAAGGAAACACAAGCTTTATTCATAGCATTTGCCAAATCTTGTGGCATAAATACTCCCACTATGACCGTATTAAATATCCCTGAATACTTAACAATCAGCCATGAGGAGCTGGATCGGCACACCCCTGCATCAACAACTCCAGGGAGCTGGGTTCCCTAAGACACTATTTTCTCTGGTGCTTTAAAGTGTCATGACGATTTCAAAAACCTTAGCTGCAGAGTCAAAACGGGGCACAGTCTTTCTGAAACTATCTTTACTCCACCTCACCCCACCAAGAGCTGAGGCTCATTTTAGTCCTTGAAAAATAAATTTTAAAATGGCAATTTCTGTTCTCTTTTCCAGACATTTTGAGCAACACAAGTTAAAACTTGACGAGGAATTTTAAATAGAAAGAATATAAAAGCCAAATATATTTGAGCTCTTAGGGATGAGTCTGTACAATATGATAGAAACAGCTATGTAGCCTCTAGCCGAGGCTGAACAGAGATTCCGGTATCTGGTGTCATGTCTTAACCAACAGGGGGCTGAACAGTGGCAGGACAGGCGTGGTGTCCTGAGAAATGGAAAGGAAGTTTTAAGGAAGCCTTTGAGACTTATCTTTAAGAAGCACTAATAGTAGGGTCCTTACCTCCAGTATCTTGGTTCCAAATCTTCACCTTGCAGTCGTGTGATGAGGTAGCGATTACAGGCATCAAGGCCAATGCTCTTGGTAGAAAGACACAGGATGCCACAGTCTGGAAATGCCCCTTATACTCACATATTCTGTTCCGCGTCTGTCTTAGGTCCCACAACTGCAAAGTAATGACATAGGCTACCTCAGATATATACATTTCCCCAGCTTCATTCATTGATATCTATCGCCTCTCCATCTCATGGCCCACCTGTTCCCTCCACTTACCTACTTCTGTAGCTACCCTTACCTTCATCCATCCCATCTACAACACAGCCAACCATCCATCCACCCAGTGATTATTTTAAGCACCAACTATGTCTCAAACAACCCTGGTTAAGAATGTGCCTGAAGGGTTGTTGCCTTCCTCATTAACATACTGGTTAGGAAAGCGAAGCTCCAAGTCCTACAGCATGAGAGAGTATGAGGTTACTGACTTTCTATGACAACTCAAGAGCTATCTTATATCAGCCTCTTGGTATCTGTGGGTCTTGTGGGGACCCCACAGTTAGGAGCACCTTCTCATAAGTACATGCAGGCACAGAGCTGATTTAATGCATAGTCACTAAAGCTTGACTACAAGTGAGGCGCCAGTCCTGCCAGTCCCATTCTTTGCTGATACAGATCAGACCACACCTGGAGAATAATGTTCAGGTAAGAGAGCAAACTGAATTGTGTCCAAAAAACAATGAAATTACTGGACACCCTGTCCTCTGAGGAACAGTGTAGGAGCTGGAAACGCTTAGCTTGAAGAAAAGATGCCACATCAGCAGCCTGGGATTTAAAATCTTGACCCAACACTTTCCAGAGGTGTGTCTTGTACAACTTGCCGTGTCTCTATTTCCTCATCTGTAAAATGGGAATTATACTACTTGACTCACGTGGTGGTGGTTTTTTAAAAATATATTTCTATTGATTTCAGAGAGGAAGGGAGAGGGAGAGAAAGATAGAAACATCAATGATGAGAGGGAATCATTGACTGGCTGCCTCCTGCACGCCCCCCCACTGGGGATCGAGCCCGCAACCCGGGCATGTGTTCTTGATTAGAATTAAACATGGGATCCTTCAGTCCACAGTCCGGCGCTCTATCCACTGAACCAGACCGGCTAGGGCTTGCGTGGTTGTTTTAAGGATTAAATGAGATAATACATGTAATGTGCTCAGCCCAATGCCTAGGCCAGTGATGGCGAACCTTTTGAGCTCGGCGTGTCAGCATTTTGAAAAAACCCTAACTTAACTCTGGTGCCGTGTCACATATAGAAATTTTTTGATATTTGCAACCATAGTAAAACAAAGACTTATATTTTTGATATTTATTTTATATATTTAAATGCCATTTAACAAAGAAAAATCAACCAAAAAAAATGAGTTCGCGTGTCACCTCTGACACGCGTGTCACAGGTT